ATATCAAAATATAGCAGCTTTCCATGTGTCTAATACGAGTCTTTTCCTTCTTTGATACAATAATTAATTAAATTTCTATTGTTTTTTATTGGTTCTTTTTCATTTGGTGCTCAATTGTCTTATTTTTTGGTGTTCATTTCACACATAGAGAAAATCGGTGCTCATTTCACCCTTTTTTCAGTGCTCATTTCACTCTTTTTTTGGTGCTCATTTCACTCCTTTTCTGGTGCTCAAAACACTCCTCGTTCGCAGCTCAAGCTGACCGTTTTGATCTGTATTCGACGTCTTATGTAGATTGTTAGTAGTTGTTTTAGAGGCTGTTTCTTAATCCTTTTCTGTACGTTATAATGTTGCTATTAACTTTGAATAGAATTTTAATGAAAAGAATTGTTAATTTGGTCAAACTAAAGCAATAGACAATAGATTCTGAGAAAAAGCTAAACGTTGGTTAAATGCAAATTTGAATTCTATCATGTGCAGTTCGCCGATAAATATCTAACGCAAAAGAAAAATTTTTGACCACTAAATTTCTTCGTTTCATCAATTTGCATAAAATTCAATATTAAAGAGAATTTTGTTTTTTTATTATCTACTGTAGTACAAGTAGTTGGATAAGACCGAAATCTGTAACAATAAGTAAATATCATAGACGTTCATCAACAGTTCGTGCTTGGATACGAAATAATATCGATTTAATTTTTTTTTGGTCATTGTATTCATTTATATGTACTTGTATTTGTATTAATGTATTACATTTTTATGTTGGTCAACAACATGCTCATTTTTTGATCGTAATTGCTCGATTAAATGGTAAAATAAGGCTTTTCAATTATTAATTTTAAAAAAATCTGATTTTTATTTTTTCAGGTGGTATGCTTAATTTTAATTGTGCTTTAATGCTTGTATTAATGCTTCGTAAACATATAACATGGATACGATCAAAAGGTGGTAGTGTTCTTCTTCCACTTGATCATCATATTGATATACATAAAACTATTGGAATTATTATTTTAATTGAAACAATTTTACATACAGCAGCACACTTAGCTTATTTAGGTATATTGTTTGGTTTATGAAACAATTTTTATAATTATATTATTTCGTTTTTTTTCTTATTAGGTTATGTATTTTACATTTGTTCATTACCACAAGATATTGGTTTTTCATGTCCTAGTTATACTAATATGAATCGATCATTAAATAATCATATGATATTAACAAAACGTTATCGATTTGATTATAAAATAAATCAATGTATTCCATTTGGATATCTTGGATGTGGTGGTAATTGGAATCAGTTTTATACCGAAGATTTATGTAAACTTCGTTGTAGTAAGAATTGATTTTATTTCTATAAAGTTTTTCCTTTAAATTGCGTGTCATACTTTTTCTTTAATCTGTAGAACCATATCTTATTACAAATCATCGTTATGTCGATGCAATATTTACAGCTAAATTAGGACTTGGTTATATAACAGGAGTGCTCGAATTCTTATTAGGTGCACTTATTTATACAATATGTTTACCATTTGTACGGAAACGTGGTCATTTTCAAGTAAAAATAAATTTTATTTGTCTATTGAATAAAAAAAGAAAATACATTTTTTTTTTGTTTCTTATTAAGTTATTTTATTGGTGTCATATGTTAACACTTCCATGGTTAATCATTATGCTTTTACATGGACCACATTTTTGGAAATGGTTATTAATTCCTGGTATTTTGTATATTATTGAAAAAATTTTACGCTATCGTAAATCACGTTCAAATAAACATGGTGAATCTTTTATTATGGAAGCTATTCTATTACCGTCACAAGTATAAATCAATGAAAATTTTATTTATTTTCATCTTTTTTTTTTTTCGTATTTTTAGGTTATTCATTTGGTCATTAATAAACCACGAAAATTTACATATAAACCAGGAGATTATATTTATATAAATATTCCATCAGTAGCCAGTTTTGAATGGCATCCATTCAGTATAAGTAGTGCTCCAGAACATAAAGGTATGAAAATAAAAAATAAAAATTTTATTTTATTTTATTAATGATCTCCTTTCTTATTTAAATGAAAAACTTTTTAACAGTTAAAGAAGTGTATATCATGTATGCTGATTGGCTCTTTGAACATTTTTAAATAAAATGTTACAGGTTTCTTTGTAGAAAATAAAAACTTCGCCCTCGTCATTTATTTATCAGTTATTGATGGACACTTCTTTATTCAGACATGAAAGAAAGTGTAGGAGGTTATTAAAAATGTAGTCTTTTTCATTGAAATGTTTTTTCATAAAAACTTAAAAATATCATTTTGAAGTAATATTTGAGTATGATGAGCTATGATCTTCGATCATCTAATTAGATCGAGGAAGAATCAACAAACTTCAAATTTTCAAGAAACTTCTAAAGGCTTCTATCAACTTTACAGAACTAAAAGAGATTTCGAAAGACTTAAAAAGGTTTTTTAAGGTTCCAGGAGATTTTGACAGACTTTATAAATTTTTAAAATAGTTTGTAGAATCTATGAATAGGGAACTGCAAAGTGGTCCCGGTCCCGGTCCCGCCGGAACCGGGACCGGGACTAAAAATTTTTCACATTGGTCCCAGTCCGTTTTTATGCAATATATTTTCACGTTTCTTATTTTGACAGTCTTNATCCAAGATATCCAAATGGAATACATTGATTTATTTTATAATCAAATCGATAACGTTTTGTTAATATCATATGATTATTTAATGATCGATTCATATTAATATAACTAGGACATGAAAAACCAATATCTTGTGGTAATGAACAAATGTAAAAGAAAGTTGCTCGATTTTATAAATGAAACCATTGTCAAAGACCGGGACCGGGACTAAAAAAAAGTGATTTTTGCAGTTCCCTATCTATGAAGCAGAATTAGGCACAGAACAGAATGATCCTGCTATTCTGTACTACCGCTCGCCATGATGAATCATTATTGTTATCAAGAGCTTTTTCATTGTTGTCTTTTTTTTATTAATAGAATTCATTATATATTAAGATCAAGATGATGGAACACAAGAAGCTCATATTTCTTTTTCATATTTTATTTCCTGTCGTGAGCGTGTCATTAACATAATAAATCAAGATGTTTCGATATTTTCTTGTATTTCAAATATTAGTAATTATTGAGAACTAAAGTTGTTGTATTTGAAAAGGATAAAACATCAATTAGTTTTAAGATAACTAACAAATTAATTATGTACTTTGGTGATCGAAAGTCAAAATAAGAATTCTTACTGTCTTGTCCTGTCCTTCAGGACCGAACAGAACAGACAAAGTTATCTTGTGTTCGACTCTGTTTTTGAAGACTTCATGAGAGTTTTAGACTTCAAAAACAGAAGTCTTTGATGTTTTCTTCGTCGATCTGAACAATGATGAAAATTTAAAATGTAACATAGTTTTAAAAAGATTATAGTGGTATTACATTAAATACAATCGCTTGTCTATCTAATATGAACGTTAAAGTATTTTGAAATATTTTTCTTAATGAACTGAATAGAACTACATTTTCTTTTTTCTTCGCTAAAAAAAAACAGGGTAGATTAGATTGCTTGTATTAGAAACAGGAATGCAGCCAGAGAGCGAATTGGAATAGGGGGAATCAATCTCTCCCTCTCCGGACAAATTGAAATAACTGGAGGGAGGTACGGACTGATTCGTTTTGACAATTTGAAAAGCATTTTTTTCTTATGACGATCCGATCCCACCCTAAGAATTTCCGGTTGCGTGCCTGACTACAAACAAAAGACGATTTATTGAAGTATGTTGTTTCCCAATGAATAAATTATTTATTAATTTTAAGCCTCTTTTATTTCTTGTATAACATTTATCCTTAGAAGGTGCTGTTAATTGCTCATTCGATTTTGAATTTATTTGCTTTTTGAAATGATCTTTAATCTTTCAAGAAAATCTTAAAGTCATTTGTTTTTCGTGTATTCTTAAAATTTTTTAAAATTGTATAAACGACTTAATTGATAAACACTGAAAGAAAAGTCTCTATGATCTAGAAAGTCTTTGGCTTCATGTTCATGTCAATGGTCATTGGACAAGACGTGTTTATGAATTATTTCGAAGAAAATTAATTGAAAAACATGGTGGTATGTTAAATGATTTTAATGATTTACGTCTTCGTTCATCAATGCGTTCACGTATGTCGAAAAGTTATATTGATGAATTACGCGGTATACATCAACAAGAAACTAATTCTCCAATTGATCTTAATAATAATAATAACAATAATAATAATGATAATTCTAATCGTTCATCTAATTGTTCAACAACAGGAATTCATTCTATTCAACCAAAATCAATTCCAATATCATTTCCAACAGTAAAACATCAAAATAAAATAATTTGTTCATCATGTCAATCAACATTTAGTTTAAATGATATACAATTAAATTCAATAGATAAAAATCATCATACAGTTACAGAAATAAATCCTTCAAATATATGTACATTTGATAAATCAATTCTAATGAATCCAAAGGAACTTGAAAATATGACAGTTGAAGATATTGAAAAGTTAGCTTATGAAAAAGAGGATATCAAATTAAATGAACAACAAACAAAATCAATAACAATACTTAAACCAGCTATTAAAAATAATAATAACAATAATAATCGACTAACTGCACCACCTAATGGTGATTATTGTATAAGAATAGCACATACATCAACAATTTGTCGTGAACAACAACAAATAGAATTAACCGAAACACGTTTATCTGATGCACTTGGTTATTTACGTATGTATAAAAGTCATAATCGAATACAATTTAATTCACTTCAATTTAATGATCGAGAAGATTTACAAGTAAATGAAATAATTTTATTTGTTTTTTTTTTATTAAAGAAAAATCAAAAGTAAAAAGTAAAATTATTCTATAGGTTTTAATTGACGGTCCATATGGTGCACCATCTCAACATATATTCGAAGCTGAACATGCTGTTTTAATAGCCGCTGGTATTGGCATAACACCATTTGCATCGATTTTACAAAGTATAATGTGTCGTTATCGAAATCGTCGACATAAATGTCCAAATTGTGAATATATTTGGGATAATCCTGAAAGTGAAGAACTTTGTTTGAAAAAAGTAAAAATTTAATTCATATTTTTTTTTTATCTTATTATTATTCGATTTAATTTTTCAAGGTTGATTTTATTTGGGTAACACGTGAACAACGTTCACTTGAATGGTTTATTAGTTTATTAGCACAAATGGAAATTGAACAACAACGTTTGAGACAAAATTCTGATAAAGGTTCTCTACTTGAAGTTCATTTATATGTAACAAGTGCACAATCACAAGCAGATTTAAAAGCGTTGAATGTTTATTTATCGCTTGATTTAATTGGTAGAGAAAATTCAGCTAATTGTGATGCTGTTGATGGAATTAGACAACGAACGAAACATGGTCGACCCGACTGGGATCAGGTAAGAAACACATGAGTTTTATTTTTTTATCTATCAAACTGATAAATTTCTTATCTTAAGTGAGCATAATGAATCAGCATAAAATATATCCAGGAATAGTATCATTAAAATACCTAGAGTAAATAAATAAATTACCTAGGTAATCAGTCATTTATTCAAAAGAAGAAAAAAAAATTAAGAGAAAAAGAATATATTCTAAAGTAAACGTATTACTGATTACAGTAACTTTTTCTTGTTGTAGTTGTAAAAAGTCTAGATGATTGTGAATAGTAGATTTTTATATACTACTTACTTAAGTAAAGTCAAGTCATAGATTTCCATAGTTTTAGTGACTTGAGAGTTGTAATAATTTGCTTCTTTATGTATTATGAATATTAATGAAGAAATGTGTATGGATTCCATGATCTGGTGACATGTGATTGTCAACAAAGTTCAATATATTATTCAAAATAATAATAATTCAACAAGTAGAAAATAAGTTGCATTCAAATGTCACCGTCAATTTTATTGAACTTTGGCTAATTTTACCGTTATACGCGTCTAAAAAAATATAATTAATAAGAATCAAAATATTTTTTTTTCTATAGAGTTTTTCCGTGAAAAAAATTTATGTAAATTACAAATATTTACATTGCGACCTGTGCACTGAAAATGTAGCTATCGTATAGAAACAAAAAAAACATATTTTTTTCGGCATTAAAATGAATACACTAAATAATTTATCTATCTATAAGATGAAAAGTTGCCGTATTAGATCATAGAACACCTGTGAAATCATTGTATTTCTATTTTTGTCACGTGACTTTATTCAAAGAACGTTTTTTATTTATACGAAGTGACGTGCAATTATCAATGTAAAAATATCATGAACTCTTTCTATGATCACTTCATTTACGTTTAATCGATTTCCGCATTTGTTCCTTTTTACTAAAAGTTCTTTGAATTATGTCAATGTCTGTTTTCCATTCTCTTTTTATAGTATCAATATTTTTAAGACTGTCTATATATGCGTAACAATATTTGTTAAGGGTATGATGACCTGTAATACAATTCATTTAGAATTGCACGCGATAATTAGGATGAAAATAAAACATGTAAATATTACATTATTCCTTTCATTTACTTTATTTTTAAGGTGTTTACTGAACTATTATGTCAAAAAAAAGGCAAAATATCTGTATTTTATTGTGGACCACCATCATTATCAGCTGAACTAACAACAAAATGTCGTCAATATGGATTTGCTTATAAAAAAGAGTTATTTTGATTATTAGAAAAAACAAATTCTTCTTTTTTTGACTCATTTTCTTTTAAATGTCTTGTATTCATTCGGGAATATCTTAACTTTGTATAGATATTTAAAGGACAAGAAATCTATTTCCATTAATGTGTTCTTTTTCTCTATGTAAAAAAAATGTAATAAACTTATAAATCACACTTATCAAAAAAGATCCAGTTAACAAGTGATAAGAGGAATATGACAAGTAGCAGTTGTCAACAAATGAATGCAAATGTATGTAGGTGTTTTTACTAGCTTTCAGCTCACATATCAAAAGCATAATCACCTGCGGGATTTGTTGTGCATGACATAGATCAACGTAATTGACTTTATTTTAAATCTATTTTCAATTTTTATGATTTTCAGTCAACACTTCAAAAGTTTACTTGTTTTTTTTTCAAGAAAAAAGAATTTTCATATATGATTATGAATTTGTGTGAAAATTAGATGCGCACCTTCAGTTAGAATAGTAAATATACGCATGAATCCAATATTCAATTTCATCAATAGATGTTTTTTTTCTGATCTTATTTCATATTTTTACATCATCGTATGATATAGAAAGAAAACAAATGAAAGAGAAAAATAAGAATTTTAACAAAAAGACCAAAAGAGTGGAAAAGAGAGAGAGAGAGAAAGGAAGAAGAAAAAGAGAAAGAACTTATGGTTTAATTGGTTGAGTTAGACAGACATTTTTTTGCTCTGAAGATTCAGTACTCCTCGTAGTTGAATATATAAATTCATTTATTCCTACTCTTACACAGCATCATATACTCAAAGATATATATATATTAGAGACAAACTGGTTATTGCGCACAGGTACGACAAATAGTTCTTCATTTGTTCAAGACTTTATGAGTTTTGAATAATTTTGTTGAATAAGAAAATTTCACTTCTATTTCCTTAATTTATCAACAAGAGTTCGCCTTTTTTTTAAATAGAACATGATCATTACTGAATAGTTTGATGCTTTTCACTTTTCATAAAAAAGAAAAAGAAAAACAAGATAGAATTCATTCTCTTCGATGATATAAATCCTGATTTATTCTGTAAATAAGAAGTACTCTATATCAACTTGAAGAAGAAAAAACTTCATGTGCATTCTTTCCGTTAGACATACTTCAATTGAATGATACTTAAAAGGCAAAGCTACCAATAGACTGATTAACTTTTATACGAACATAGATTTTCTTTTCTTTTATAATCATGACTTAGTGAAAATAAAATCTTTTCGTAGGTGTGTTTGCTTTCCTAGTTTTTATTGCAAAGTACTTCTAACGGACACAAGTGTCTCCCACGCACACTTATTCACTCGAGATCGATAAATAAAATATCTCTGTACGTGTTAAAATGTGCAACCTTTACGTTTTCAAAAAAAAAAAAAAAAGAAAGTAAGCTCTTTGTTTTTTGAAAAAGAATGCAAATCTGAAGAGGGTGACGCCTGTAAACTTGCTTTGACAAAAATAAAAATTTATTTTTTCTAAACGTAAAATAGTGTACACTTTAATGCGTTGACATGTGCTCTTGTCGTCTAACTGAGTATAGATGATTTATATAAAATTTTATATGTAACATTTATATTGGTATTGAAAAAAGTGTAAATCATATATTGTTTTTAGAATGTTGGTGGTTTGATGGTGTGTTATTGTTTTAGTAAGCATAGCTGGTCTTGTATTAACTAATCCTGTTAAACAAACATTATTGAATGGAAAAGCTGAAAATATTTCATTAGCTCAAGCTTTTCATAGAGCTGAAAAAGCACTCACGCGTTATTCTTATCGAATCAATTCTGATACTGATTATCTTGTTCATGGTATATTACATGTTTTAATGAAAAATCCAACATCATTTACAGTAATTCCACGTCATGCAGTGGATATAATATTTACCAATCTGGCAGAAAAATTAGGTAATGATGATGTGGAGACTATAACAACACCTATTTTACTTAGCATTGAACAAAATTACCAAAGAAAAGTTGAACCATTATCACCAGTTGAATTATCCGATGAAACAAAAGAAAAAATTGAAGACGCATTGGACAATTTTTTAGATGGAGATTTTAAACAACATTTGTGAATAAAAAACAAAAAGGAAAAAAATATTGAAAAACCAACAAAAAGATAAAACATATTGAGAAAAACTAAACAAAAACAAAATAGAATAAAACATCATATATTTGTTTGCGCGTATATAAGTTTGTTAACTATAAAATGAGTGAAAAGAAGCTCATACACGATAATATCTAATTTTTGATGTATTTACTGCGTTCTTCTAATAATTATTGTTGGAATAAAAAAAATTATTCAAAAATGAAAAGGTGAAATATTAATTCGTATTACAAATATTGTATGTAAACGACGACGATGAGGAGATAAATGTTTACCATTTAATTCATTATTGTATAAATGTATTTCAAACTCATATTCATTTGATTCAAATAATGTTCGATTTGTTTTTAGATCACCACCATTAAGTATAAAAGGAAAAGATATATTCATATTATTTTTATCAATTATTGTTATAGAAATTTTATTTCGATCCATTATAGGTAAACTAAATAATGTTCGATTTGATAATGTTAGTCGTGGAACAGCAATAAATCTATGACGAATATAAATAGCTTGACGAGGACGACAAGATGATGAACGTTGATAACATTTTAATAAACAGTCACTTTCATTTTGACGAGTATATCCAACAGGACATGGAATATCTATACATTCATAAGCACCATGAGTATTAAAACATGAACGATCTTGACCACAATCAATTTGAAATTGGCGACATTCATCAATATCTAACAATATTTTTAAAGAAAATATTCATATAAATAAGAATATAAATACAAACCTTGACAGTGTCCTAAGTTATTGATTTTAAATCCAATTGGACAATAACATCGATAAGATCCTATTTGATTTTCACACATATATTGACAGATATTTGTATTTTCAACACATTCATCAATATCTAGACAAATGAAAACAATACAATCAACAGATTTTAGATGTATAATCTTTATAAGCTAGATTATTTTTGAAAGATCAACAAACAAATGTTTCTATAAGTTTTTAACATTGTTTTTATTGGTAATAGATAAATAATATTTATTCTTTGTTTCTTGAATATTAGACAGCCATGTAATATTTAGCTTTTGGGCAAAGGACAGGAGCGCACAAGAAAGCATTTCAATTCCTTCTTATCGTCAATGATCATTTTGGTGCAAAAAATTGAGGCATTTTAATTCAATCATAACTGTAAATAGAGTGTATCTTCATAACATAATGAATGCGCAGTTAGTAATTAATACTAGTCAACACTGGATATCCGTTAAACAGAAAATAAGTAAAGATGAAGAGCTATTCAAATTTGTTTTTTTTTTATAGTACTTCGTTCATGCTACATTATCATAATAGAACCATTCATTTAAAATAATGTTTTGAATCTACTAGGCCGTATACAAATCTTCCATTGGTTATGTGTTGAGTTTGGGATACTCATGTGCACATTCCATTTGTCGTTTAATTATTGTGTTAATGAAACTTCCTTGTCACTTAGCTCACTTTGCAATCGATAAAGCTTTTCAACTAGCATTACAAAACGCACAATTTTTTATGTTAAAACAAATAAAATGGAATACATAATAAAATTTCTAATCCACTATTTGTGAGGCTGAATTTTTAACTTTTTCGACTGATATTCAATGGTTTTCAAGCAAAATATTATTTATTTCACTTCAAAAAAAAAATATCATATTTGCAATCAGTACAAATAAGTGCATTGACCTGTAAATGTTTCAAACTTTTTTAAGATTCTTTTTTTCTGACAAAATTTTCACACCTGAAATCTTCTCTAGTATCTGTGAAAAAATTAACTTAATCAAAAAATCATTGCGACGATGGAAAACATGTTCCAAACTTGTAACGTGTTATTTAAGGACAAAATTACAGATGATTCAACAATAAAAAATAGTTGTTTGATGTAAACTTATTTTTTGACGGATGCTTCTGGAGATTTCAAGTGTGAAAATTTTGTCAGAAAAAAAGAATCTTAAAAAAGTTTGAAACATTTACAGGTCAATGCACTTATTTGTACTGATTGCAAATATGATATT